TTAGAAATATATATTCATCCACAATGCCCATTTTATTTCTTTTGTGTTGGCTCCTGCTTCTTCTTTAATCCCGATAACTCTTAAATTATTTCTCTTTGCATTCATTTTGCAGTCCTTAAATTGTTATTTCCTATTTGTTTGTTATTTTTAAGACATCTTTTTTTTCACCATCACTAGTTGAAATCCTGTCTTAAAGGTCTAAAAGTCTATCTTCAGTCTCTTTCAAGGATTTTGCCAGCTTTTCATCAACTTTTTAATTTCCTGGATATCTCTTTGAATCTGTCTCATACATTGTAATTCCTTTCTATATTGTTCATTCATGGTTTTCATCATTTTCCTGTGCTTCTCTTTTTATCTATTTTCTTTAGATATGCTCAGCAATTCTTTCATTATGCTTCATTATCATTAAAAATTTATGTAATTTATTATTTTGCCTGAGACATTATTTCTGATTTTATTTCTTTTACAGCCTCATGAAGTTGTTTCTTTACTTGACTTGCTATCTTTTGGGAATTTCAGGTGTATGACTTATGTTTTCTTCCATTCTTGTATCTACCAGACTTGTTCTGTGTAGGCTGAAGGTCTGAGATTGCCTTTTGTTCCATCATCTTATATTCTCCTGGGTTTCTTCTCAACAAATTGATTGTGGGGTCCTGGCACTTCCCACATTGACAGCCCCTCCACAATGTAGGGGAATGGGAAAGGCACCTGGGTTTCTCTGACCCTAGGTTTACAAGAAGGTAGCAGGGGATGGGGCGGGATTCTCCAGACCCATGCAGCTACACTAGGGCTTCCTTGATGACCAGGGGTACATGGTGGTAAGGGCTGATTTTGTCAGCCTGGGTGTCTACAACAGGACTCCCATGAGGGTGGTAGACACACAGGGTCAGTTTCTTTGATTCTCCCAGTGGGTAAAGGCTGCCTCAAGGAAGGAGAAGTCTCAAGTGTTGACCTGTAGTGGCACAGGCTTACCTGATTGTGTCCCTGCTCATGCTGGCCGCCCACAGGTAGCAAGCCTTCTGATGGCAGCTGTACTTTCTTTCAATTCTGCTGTGAACCTAAAATTGCTCTTAGTAACTAGTTCTGTTAACCACCAAACTGTCCAAATCACGCAGGGTTGTCTCACACAGGGAGGGAGTGGGGGGGTTATATTCAGAGATGCCACATGAGACGTGCCTTAGGGCAAGCTTGGGTTGCTTGAATTTGGTTTGATATAAACCAACTCTTTAGAACCAGGAACTTTTCCTTCTGCTCCCCACTCTTGCCAAATGCCGCTTGGGTTGCACCACACTCATGCTCGCTCTTAGCTCTTGGCTCCTGCTAAGTGCCATCTCCCTTAAGCCACCATCATTATTATCTATTGAGAGCTCATCAGCCACAATGAGATGTTCTCTGACATTTACAAGATCAGGGAGATCGCAGACAGGCTGTGTCTGATTGAGACCAGAGAACTCTTGCTGAGGGTGCTGCTGTCATTAGATTTTTGTGCTGCTCCCACCCAGTGTTCACAACTCTGCAGGCCATGGCCAGGAAATAGGAGCAATTTCTTGAGTTGCTCCAGTGTTCTTTGGTATGGCCTTCAGTGGTACAGCCCAAGACACTGAGACACACAACACAACTGTTTCTGAGGAGAGATCTCCCAGACAGTGGAGCCTATGGATTTGGTTAAACAAGGGGGAAAATGTCTTGCATTGATATAGGACTGGAAAGGGCAAGGAGAGTTGTATTAATACCTTTATACAATATTACTGGTATTCTCCATTCATTCCGTAGTGACACAAAACAGCATATGATTTTTAAAAAAATAATAAAAGGTAAAAAAACTAAAGCCTTATGAATGAAGATTTCACGCTCTGATTTTAACTGTTTGGCTCAGTATAGGCCATGTGTGATTTTGTAGCATCTTGTATTGGTTCTCTGGATACCGCCCACACACGGGCTGATACCCCTCTTCCAGTCACAGAACACTGATTGTGTCAAGACCACATTTCAGGGATTTTCTTTAATGTAAGTAAATTAACTTTATAATCAACTCTGAATTTGAAAATTCATTGAATTTCCATTGGTGCATAAAATATAATTCCTTTTGTTAAATGTCTTATACACAAAGTACTTGTTTAAAAACTCTATCGGAAATTTAATTAGTCTCAGTAGTGTAAGTAAAGAATCTAGGCCAATCAGAGGCTTGAGGAAACCTGAGCTCCCCAGAGGATGAGGTCAGCAGGTCCCCAGACCTTGTTAGAAGTGTGACCCCCACACGTCCTTAATGAAGACTGAGCAGAATCACGGGTATTTCAGAAGCAGGGCTGCACACATGGCTCACACCGGCATCTCCCTGAGAAGTGAGTTTGCTGAAGAAGCACAAGCAAGAATCTCGTCGTCTCTTAACATTGAGCAAAAGCAACACTGCTGTCAGTGAAGTTAGACTTGTAACTTTACTGCTCAGGTAAGTTTGCACGTGTTAATTTATATGTTTCTATCAACAATATTAATGTCTAAGTCACACACAGCACCTGAGAAATACATTCTTCAACATCTGAAGACGACATAACTACTTTTCTTTACATAGTATATGTGTGCTTATAGAACAGACAGACTGCTTCATATTCTAGTGTTTATTTTAGGTCATTATTTCTTCAAATGTTCTCTTGGGTTTTGTGTTTCATATGTGGTGCAGGTCCAAGCCTAGAATAGAGCATCAGGACATCTGAAGTTAATATTTTCTTCATCTGGACTCAAAAAGATAATTGAGAAATCTATAAGCTAATGAAATTTATGAGGGGATTTTATGAAAATAAAACCATGTAAGCAAACATAGTCATTCAGTAACAAAAAATTTTGAGATGTCTAATATGGTCATTATCAAAATGATAATAAATCTATAAGCTAATAAAATTTATGAGGGGATTTCATTGAAATAAATCCATGTAAGCAAACAGAGTCACATAGTCCTTCATTATTGAAAAAAAGTTAAGATGTCTAGAATGAAAAATTATGATAAATATTTATAATAATAATTTCATATTATATAAAATAGGGGCTGGGGATTTAGCTTAGCGGCATAAGCACCTGCCTTGCAAGCAGGCAGTCATGAGTTTGATCCCTGGTACCGATAAAAAAATGAAAAAGACAAAAAAAATATAAAATAATAATGCTGATTTTTAGATATATTATTATGTGTCACCTATTTTACAATTCATGGGGAATTAGCCATCACACTCAATCTATTGTCCATATTTGAAAATTGTGAGCCAAACAATTTCAACATATCACTGAGAAAATGACAGAAGGGGAATAATCCCTGTATTTCCTCTTGTTGAAAGGATCAGGACACAGTGTGAAGGATGGAAAAATGAGGGGAATTCAGCTTAGGGAAACTTGAGCATGTGTTTTCACTGAAGAGGAAGGACATGCAATAAGAAGAGACAGAGAAAGGGAGCTGGGGTTCTAATGACCCTACCTGTCATTTTGATGAAGGAATTAAAAATCACTACAGTGCAATGATTGACACCGTGTAGCAGCCACACCCTCATCTGTGAGCTGTGGATTGGAGATTGATTCTGTACTCAAAGGATTTTCTCTTAACAGAGCAATAAGGCTAATAGAAGAAACCACATGTAATTCAGAGAATTAGCAGGCAAAACAATTCCTATAGGATGTTTTAGTAAAACATTGAAAAGCCACATGAACGGGGCTGGGGGTTTAGCTCAGCGGCATAAGCACCTGCCTTGCAAGCAGGCGGTCGTGAGTTCGATCCCCGGTACCAATAAAAATGAAAAAGACAAAAAAAAAAAAGAAAAAAGAAAAGCCACATAAACATAAAACTGTAAACAAATCATTATTATCATGCACATAAAATGCACAACTGTAATTTCCTTTATTACAAATGTCAATGAAAATATTTTCAGTATTGTAATCCTTCAATTCTGTTTTTCACCAGTGAAAAAGATTAATACTGAGATAGACCTCTCAGTAATTTACTGAAGTTCAATAAATTACTGAGTAATTTACTGAAAAGATAATTTGTAAATAGATCATTTATTATTTGAATGCTTCAGAACAAGCACAGGTAAATAAATTCAATATAAAATAATGATTTAAAAATAATGAGATTTTAACAAAAGATATGAAAGCAAGCAAAGTAGAGGTCTGGATAGAAAGTTGGCACCTAATTAAATATTCATATCCATTCTTTAGAGACAGTTTCTTTTAGGAAGACTACCTCAATAAGTTTTTTTTGTTACCTTTTTATAAAATACACAGACAAGGTAGTACAAGAGGGGGATAGTCCATATATCATTAATGGGAAAATAGAATTTTTACATCCCAAAGAAATAACATCTTGAATAGGTATCAGCGCAAAGAACAAAAAAAGATTTCACACACAGAACTGGAAGAACTTCTGGAGTGAGAGAACAGTGCAGAGTGACCTTCCTGATGTCATTTGGATGAAACTCATTGTCAAAGGAAGCACAGGGTTGTGCATTATACTTATTAGGGAAAAATTAAAGAGTAGTTAGTCACAGAAGGCCACAGTCACATATATGCTCCACCCTTGGATCTAGAGAATGAGGAGCAGATGTGGGATTCCCAGCACCAGGGCTTGTTGCAGAAGCTCTCATAGAATAGGTAAGGGATAGACATTCAAAACTGAAGAAAACGGGAAAAACTCTTGAGGTGTTCCATAGAATGATCAACTCTTACATATGTTGAATAAGTAAAAGATTGCTGGGATGTGATTGCACTTTAAATGTTTTATAGCTTAATTCTCTCATTTTATGATTGTGGAAACTAACAGAATATGTATCAGCAGTCTGGATAAGGAAACTGAAATAGGAAAATGTGCATTTACTGCATTTCAAGACAATTATATCCTTTTCCTCTTTCTGAGTTCCTATTACAAGCTGCACTGTACTTCTAAAGAGTGGTCTACATTCTTCTCATAACATCTTTTTTCACCATAACATCAACTCTGCGGAGATCACGGCAGGTTGGCAGACATGGACAACCTCACTATCTTCACAGAATTCCTCCTCATGGGTGTCACAGGCTCCCTGGAGCTCCAGCTTCTGCAAGGTGTGCTGTTCTTACTGACTTACTTAGGAGCACTGACGGGGAATCTCATAACTGTCACTCTTATCGTGACAGACACACGTCTGCACTCTCCCATGTACTTTTTCATAAGCAACGTGGCCCTCATAGACCTTGGCAGTATCTCAGCTGTTGTTCCCAAAGCCTTGGTGAATTCCATGACAGGCAGTAATGCGATCTCCCTGACAGAGTGTGCTGCACAGGTTTTTCTGAATATCCTTTTTGGAGCAGTGGAGATTGCATTCCTGGTGGTCATGTCCTATGACCGCTATGTGGCCATCTGCCACCCTCTCCACTACAGGGTCATCATCACCCCGAGTCTGTGTTCCCAGGCCATAGCTGGCTCATGGGCCTCTGGTTTGGTCTACTCTGCGATCCACACAGTAACTCTGTTTAGGCTTCCCTTCACCAAGACCAATGTGATCCACCAATATTTCTGTGATATTCCCCAAATTTGGAGTATATCATCCTCAGATGTCCAGTTTTCTGAATTTGTGATCATCATTGCATGTGTTTGCCTTGTCTTATCATGTAATGCCTTTATAATTATTTCATACATTAATATATTTTCAACTGTGCTTAAGATCCGTTCAGTGGAAGCCCGTAACAAAGCCATATCTACCTGCACTCCTCAGCTGTCCATTCTCCTGATGTTTTTCATTTCTGTAGCAGTGGCTGTCTTGGGTCCTATTGCACAGAAACCATCCCTGAAGAACCTGCTGACTGCCATGTTCTACACCATGGTGCCCCCATTCCTAAACCCCATCATCTACTGTCTGCGCAACAGGGCAATTAATGCTGCTCTGCAAAGAGTGCTCAATAGATATTCTAAACTCCCAGTCAAGGGTTTGCTTGCATAAAAAATTAACAATCATTTGAAAGTAGTTCAACAGATTTAGTGTCAAATATCTTGCTTAGTTTTTTTTTTTCTCTTTTATGCACATTCACTGAAATGCTAGGCATCTGCTCTACATTGCCAAACTGTTTGGAAAATATTTGGAAGGTAACTGAGTTAGAAGCAAGAAGGGCATCATAGAGCAGGGGCCATGCTTCCTGTGTTCCACCATAGCAGAAGCCTGCACAGTTGAGGGAACCTCAGGTGATGCTTCTGACCCACCTGGAAACGTGTCATGAGTGTCCTGAGAGAAGATCCTGCTGCCTGCATGGTGCTCAATGCTCTCAGTCATCCACTCAGGCTAGGATAAGTGACAAAGTGGTTAACAGGGAGACAACTAAGAACTGAAAGCAAAGTGGAGCCACTGAGACCCTCACCAACCGCTTCTGAGCCTGATAAAACCCTTTCACTCATTCAATGAAAATTAAGACACAAAACAACTGACCTTCAAAACACTGTAGTTTGGAACTTGTTTACTTTCTGTGCACTAGATGAAAGAATTCAGACCATGGTTGATGCATTCAAACTTTGTAAAAAAGAAGCAAAAACAAATCCGAGTGTAGCACGGAGATAAATGGAATGATCACTTCTACTGGAATTTCCCTGGAGAGAAGAAGACAATGCTTGAATTACGTAGTGCACATTTTTCATCAAATGTCACATACACAGTGATTCACCCAAAACCAAAGGGCTTCATTTTTCTGACTTCTAAGAACTGAACGTGCAGCACCTCAGCTGACACTCACATGTTGGTGACATTGTGTCTCAGAACTGGATCCAGATTTTCCTACTTTCTCACCTGGAAGCTCTGTCTGTGAGAACCTCAGCATCAAGGCACCAGCATCTATTTACTGCCAGCCTAGCACTGGGACAAGAGGCACATCAGGCTCCCTGTCTCTGTGCTTCTGTTCCTCACAGAAGCAAGCAACAGTCAGTACCATAGACCTGTCACCCAGAGCTCACAGCCTGATGAGGATCTGGACGTGGCCCTCCCTCCTCTGATATCTGAGTTACTTCAGCTACTTCACTACAATGGTGGATAAACTTTAGCCATTAGTAGAGAAATGTATGCATCGTGAGACTATATTGTTAAGTGAAATAAACTCGACATGCAGCTTAAATATTGTAGTCTCTCTTATGAAAGAAACCCAGAAATTAAAAAAAAAAGCAAAATAAAAGATAAGGTAAGTAATAAATAAATAAGGAGATTGATGCTAGAGATTTAGCTCAGAGGAATAAGTGCTTGCCTAGCAGGCATGAGATCATTATTTCAATCTCCAAAACTAAAAAAAAAAAAATAATAATAATAAGGAGGTAAATGTTTTGCAAAGGTGAACAGGCCCAAAAGGATACAGCACAGTAATCATCTTTAATTTCCTGTTATCTTAATCTAGAGCCCTGCATGACTTATACTGTTTTATCATGACTGATCTTAGTTAAATCTGGTTTATTTGACTGCTGTCGGTATTGACAGATTTTATTCAAAACTGATATGATTGATAGTATCAAGTCTGAAAGTATAGGCAACTACATTGAAGATGACAAGTCTATGATACACATTCTGGTTTGATAACTGCCTGTTTTTGAAGTTTTATACTATATTCAAAGTTGTGTTTTTATTAATACTGTTATGTACTGATATATTCAATTATACTATGTCTGATGATATAGCCAATTCTATTGAAGATGACAAGAGACAACACAGGAACTATGGTAGAACTCCTTGTATTACAGTCTTATATGTCTTTTTCATTTCATGTGTTTACAGGAATATGTTTTGTTTTGTCTTGCTTTGTTTTGTTTCTCCATTAATACAGAAAGGACAGGAATACATGTTAAGACTCATGCATGTGTAGAACCTTAAACAGTTTCTGAGAACTGATCTTATGACTCATGATGAAATGAAGATACTTTAAAGAAAAAGAGACATTAAAGTACCCAGTGCTGATCGTGGAGTGTCATAATGTAAAACCAACAATAATATTATTCTTTGTTCAGAGTGATATTAACCTGCTTGGTTTTGTTCAGTCTCAACGTAAATGAAGATAGGAAGAACTGCATGTATGTTTAAGTGTATAGGATTGATAACCATATTTCTAAGTTTTTGTTATATAGTTGAACACAACAGGTTGCAGTCTCATTGTCTGAATCCCCACTTTATATGCTCTACTTTAGTATCTTGAATAACTATCTGCAAGAGGACAATCTGTAATCATCAACCTGTGATTTCTTACTGTTTATTTTTTTCTTTGAAAGTATGTATTATTTCTACCCATTTTCCGTTTTGTTTAGTCTTTCTTTAAATAAAATTTACCAAAAAAAGACACTACAGTACCCAGTGCTGATCCTGGAGTGTCATGATGTGAAATCCAGCAATACTATTTTTCTTTGTTCAGAATGACTTTAGCCTGATTTAGTTGGTTTAATATCAACATAAATGAAGATATGTATAACAGCATGTATATTTAAATGTAAAGGATTGACAACCATATTACTAAGTTTTTGTTGGATAGTTGAATAGAACTGTTTGCAGTCTCACTGTTTAAATTCCCACTTTATATGTTCCATTTTTGTATCTTGAACAACTATTTGTAAACGTATAGTATATAAACATTAACTAGTGATTTCTTAGTGTTTATTTTTTTCTCTGAACATATGTATTATTTCTACCCATTTTCTGTTTTGCTTAGTCTTTCTTTAAATAATTTTTTTAAAAAAATACAACACTGCTGAGGCCAGAAGTTATTTAATTAACCATGGTTAATTTTAAGACTTCAAAGAAAAATACAGAAAGGTAAGCAAGCATAGAAAATCCTTCAGTCTTTTAAACGAGAGGGCTCAGATATTGCATGTGAGCAGAAACTTCATAAAAATGATAGGAACCATGTGCAATCATCTTGGCAAATCACAATCACTGCTGCATAGGCCAATTAACTAGAAAGATAAGGAGACCACTTTGAAAGTTTTCACCAGCAATACACCATTACTCCCAAAATATTCTTGTTTTACATCAAGTCATTTACATACTAATGCTCAATTTTCAGAATATCAAATTATTTCCTCTGTCCTGAGCCAGTTTGATCATATATAAAATTATTTTCACAAGGCTTATATTCTTACACTTCTTTCTTCTTTATTTAAAGAGAGAAGAAAAAAAGAAAGGACATAAAAAAACAATGCAGTAAAAGGGTACAAATCATACAGTATTTCTAGAAAAAAAATATACAGTACGAAATCGCCAGTTAACAGGCTACACATTATCTTCCCAGAAACAGTTGTCCTTATCACTAAATTAAAGCATATAAAGTGAACATTCATACATTGAAATTGGAGACAGTCCCGTTCAATAATCCAACAAAAGCTCAGTTATATGGTTTTTCATCCTACACTCTCGAACATACCTGCGGTTATATCCCTTAGTCCACCTTACTTTCCTCTTTTTTACAGTAACAATTAGACTTTTAGGGTTTTATTACTCTCACGGTTCTTATTACTTTTTTGAAGAGAATAAAAACAAATGTGACTAAGAAAAACAGAGTCAGTTAGAACAGAAGGGTGGACTTCCTTCTTATAACCCCATCAACTATTTGCCCTACACTTTTCTTCTTCCTTATTTTGAAAAAGCATTCATTCTGATTTAATACAAAAATCACTCTATTTCACTTAACAAAATAAAGCATGCTTTATCAGTTTCACTGAGGAAATATATATATATATATATATATATATATATATATGTATATGTATATGTATGATATAGTGCATATATGTTATATTACACGTATGATATAATACATATATAGATAAGATACAAAGCGTTTATCAGGTAGGCTCACACTGGGGTGACCCAGGGGTGTATAGTGCAAAAGGCACTGACCAGCTGGGGAATCCAGTCAAAAGCAAAGGCCTTGAGCTCACTGCAGAGTCCTGTGTAAGTCCGTATTCAGCATCCTCTAGAAGGAAGAAGAATCTGCATGGGAAGCCTGGAGAGGAACATCTGAAAGTGAGAGTGAGGACTGGAGCTCCTCCAAAGTAGCAAAACAGAGGGAGGCTTCCTTCTTGCCCTTGTTATTCCATACAGGCTACAGGCCTGTGCCCAGGGTGCATTTTCCCTCTCCAGTAAGCTTCTCACCCAGACATACCCAGAACGGTGCTAAGCCAACCATCTGGACATTTCTCATTCAACTTGACACCACAGGTAAGTATTTCACGTTCACACAGTGATGTGCTTACTTAGAAAACTGTGTTTTACCGTGCTTGCCTACCTGCATATAGAACTGTTCCCTTCATTGTTCTGATTAATCTTATATCCATATACCAACTACTGAGCAAAATAAATAATTTTTAAAATTATAGAGCTTACTTTATTTTTTTAATTTCAAAAAGAAAAAAAATAAAAGCAATCATACAGAATTTCAAAACAAAATATTAGGAGATTAACAATGGTTAATACATTGCATGTTGTTATCTTCAAAGTAGTGGCTCACATTACCAGATACAGGCATGAAAATATGATCAAACTGTTATTTTTGATGAACTAACAGAGATTAGTTGAACAGTATAATGATACATATATATATGTATGTATACATACACATATTATATCTAATATTTTTCCTTCTTTCTTTTCTCCTTTCCCCATTCAAGTGTTCTTTCCTTTTGAGCAGTTTCTTCAACTTTCAGTTTCATAGTATCTGTTTTACATCTTGACTCTTATTTACTCTTGTAGTTTCTTACATTATGGAGACAATACAATATTCACAGATGTGAGTGTTATTTATTTCACTTATGAATATGGTCTCAAATTCCATCCATCTACCTACAAAAGCCTCAAGTTTATCCTTCTTTATAATTGAGTAGTACTACTTTGTATAAAAATACAATACCTTTTTATCCATTCTGTGATTAACTGGCATTTAGTTTGTTTCCAAGATTTAGCTATTGCAAATTGTGCTGCTATAAACA